GGGGGGGGGGGGGGGATTGTTAGGTTTCTGTTTCCATATTGTTTCCGATTCTGGATGAGCATCAGTGTTCGGGCCTTCTGAGTGAGTTAGTATCAGTTTGATGGTATAAACATGCAAGTACCAACTGGCAATCTAGTTGTTCAATGTTTTCCCCCTTTAACAGTGTAAAGAAAACTTAATTGAATTCTTAAATTTCCAATGCTTTGAGCTATTGCTTTTTTTTTTTTACATATTATTTGGAATTAAGAAATTGCTGTTGGAGATAGCTGGAAGCATGATCTTGGTTTCAACTCTGGATGATACTGCAACTAATTTTTCTATCCAAGCTTCTACATTCCTCATTTGGTCTTTCTTGATAATAGCAGATATATTCTCTATGATTCCATTAAGTATTTCGGAGATCAAGCTAAAAATGTTAACTCAGTTATGGACAAAAAAATTGTGTTGCAATCAGGCATCTGATAGTATTAGAAATCTGTTACTTTTTTAGAACTATTTTTGTTGCTTGGATTGCACCTTTATCAGTCTTTATGTTGTTGGACAGTCTTCCAAAGTATAGTGGTTTCTTTTGTCAACCTGGCCATAGCAAGCATTCCTACAAGCCAGCATTACAGGTCTTGCAAGAGCTGGCATTATTTTTGAGACAAGCTAAACATTACCTGTCTATATTTAAGGAAGTGGTTTCTTGAATTTGACAATGCAAGAAATTTTTTGTAATAATCTTTACTTTTATGATGAGGCCTAGGATTATTCAATTATGGGACTCACGATAGATTATTGTCCATATTGCTAAAAATCATTTGAAGTGATGTCTTTGAAGTTTTGATCTGCCTTTATTGTATATTTTGTGGAATAAGGAATAGATCAGAATTTCCCTGTCCCCTTCTGTTTCATATAGTTGCCTCACTGTATCAATCCCCTAAAAGTTTTTGTAAGCAGCTGTAAATATTCAATGATTTTATTGAATATTTAAGAGGTATGAGATGGTTTATTTCCCTTTTGCCTTTTTTGTCCTTCTCAGCTTTCTGATATAGACATGTTATATGTGATCATTGGCATCCTTTGAGTATTCTCTCTTTTCTCCCTTTAATGTAGACAAATTATGTTCTATTGCTTGGTTTCTTTAAAGACCAATTGCAACAACATGTCCGTCTTCATGCCATGGAAGCAGTTATGGCTTGTTGGGATCTTGAGCAATCACTTCAAAGTTTAACAGGTAAATAGTTCACCTTAAGGTAAACTGTTTTTGGAACAGATAGCAGAAAGTAGTAGTAGCATGCAAGTGCATCATTGTGATGCATTGGAGCTATGTTATCCATAATGATTACATCTTTCAATTAGTTATGCATTTTCCTTTTTCTGGTTTCTAAATGATGCTCCAACTATTCAAGTGTCAGTGCTCTGATAGTAGCATCCATATTCCAGGCTTCATGTCACATCCATTCTACTTAAATCTTCCTTGTTATGTCTTTCCTCTATCAGGAAATGTTTTGGAGGTTTAGATTAAGCATATGCATTAAGAGGTCTTAGGGCCTAGCTAAGATTTAATTTTTATTTTTGTTAGAAAATTTTATCATTTCCTTGTCTTTTTGTTTTTCTTCCAGACTATCTTTTACCGCCAAACATTCCAGTTGATCCAGGGTTGAACCGGTTTTTTATACACCATTATATTTGTTAGCTTCCTTCTAGTGAACCTTATGTTGAGACTTCTCTGACCTATAAGTTGTAGATAGTTAAACCACCTCTCTCTCTCTCTCTCTCTCTATCACACACATCTCTCTGTGAAAGCCAAACTGACAGCTACTGCCAATGAAGAACAATGCTAATCACTATGATATTGTCCCTTTAATTCACCTAGAACTGAAAAAGGGTCTATACATAAGCCTTAGAAGTTGGTTTCAGTATTTGAATTCTACATCTAGCTTTCCTGCTAGCTATAATTCATAATAATGAACTTATTCTTCCCTGTTTATTTTATTCTTTTAGTATCACTGCATTAACCATGGATTAAACTGGCAAAACTTAGATCTAAGCCATGAAGCATTGAACAGGTGTATCTCCAGGTGAAGGCTCTGGTGCAACCATGTCTGATGATGAAGATGAAGTAGTAGATAGTGAGACAAGCTTGTTTGATGGAAGTTTGGATGGGATTGACAGCATGGGATTTGGTCCTCTCATTCCATCTGAAACTGAGAGGTCCTTGATGGAGCGTGTTAGGCAAGAACTGAAGCATGAACTGAAACAGGTATGCTTTCTTAAACTTAATAGTGGAAAGACTTGACATATACACTGCAGCTAAATGTGCTTTCTGCATTTTAGGGTTACAAGGAGAAAATCGTGGACATTAGAGAGGAAATTCTGCGTAAGAGAAGGGCTGGAAAGCTACCAGGTGACACCACCTCCCTCTTAAAAGCTTGGTGGCAGTCACATTCTAAATGGCCTTACCCAACAGTGAGTGATGTATTTCCTGGGTAGCTCCGCCGACCTTATGATATGTACTTTTCAACAGTTTTCTAACAAAATGTTGTTGCAGGAGGAAGACAAAGCAAGATTAGTGCAGGAAACCGGTTTGCAGTTAAAGCAGATTAACAATTGGTTTATAAACCAGAGAAAAAGGAATTGGCAGAGTAACCCATCTACTTCTCTGAAAAGCAAACGTAAGAGGTAGGCTGCTTATGAATGTATGTGTTTCTCAATCAAAATGAGCTTTTCTCAAGAATCATTCGCCAAATTTAATTTGGAAAAAGAAGTAATGCAGGTAAAACCAGCAATGAACACTTAATGTGAATTAAAAACTATAGAAAACTACTTGTTTCGCTTTCTGTCCATACTGGTGGAAATTCAGCTTCAGAGCATGCGTTATAGGCTATTGCAATGGAAAATCTGGGTACAAGACAACTTCCGTTGAGTGCTTTATTTTGTAAACGTGGTTAGCTTTCATCAGTAACAAGTTTTGTGGTTCAGCTTTACAAATGGGTTGGCATGAGCACCAATCAGTTTTAGTCAATAGGTAATCTGCTGATAGGCAATGATATCTGTGTAACTATGTTGTTTTAGATTCTTGAAATTTAGAGCCTATAAGACTGTAAGAGAAGTCCTCTACATAGAATTAATGTATCATAGGTAGCTGTAAATTTTTAGCTCATGCTTTTATATCTGTGGACAAGAATGGCTTTAAGTCATGGGTTTATAATGTAATTATCAACATGTTCATACTATATATAATGTTTTACCTGTGAATTGATTGAAGGTTAATGCTTGCAATAATATGTAGACAGAGACATGAGGTTTGAGGTGTTTCATTTTCAATTGGTCAAACTATTTAATAACACCACCTAGATTTCTGGTGTAACTTCCATATCATCTATTCGTGGAATGGTTACATGGTTTCTTTTTCTATGTGCTGTCAGCGGTTTTCCATTTGATAAATTTCATTGTATAATCCGGAAAGGATATACAGGATCAATTAAAATTTTGTTTAAAGGAACAATAATAAACTAGCAAAGGGCTAGGTATCAAATAACGGGACTTGTGACCTCCACCTAGCATATATGTGTTTTGGGTAAATGAAATCTCATTCATTTTAAAGCCAGGAAGAAATCCTGTTAGTGATACAAAAACAAACCAAGCTGCATGAGAAGGTACGCAGAAGGCACAGAGAAGGAAATACAAAGATGTGTCAAAACCAATACAGTCAGACCTAAGCACAAAAATAAAGCGTAACTAATGCTTCAAACCTTCTTCCTTAAGTCTCCAGCTGCAACATAGAAGTCTGTTAGTCAGAATATTTTGACATGCTGGAGAGACAATTTCCTCTGAGCAACACAATTTTATCATAGGGTTAAATTAGCTGCAGGATTCTTTGGTCCCTAATGGCTTCTATAATTTCTCCCTTGCCTTTACCCGCAAATTACTCGTGCGTATACATAAACAACTAGCTAATGTCCATGTCTACATAAGTGACTTGACTTAAACCTCTATTACTTACTAAACAATTTTACAAAGCTTTGGGTTGCTGAAGCGAAAGGAGAGTATCCCTGTTATTGGTTAATCTGCACAACAATTGTCAAAGCAGCGCTGAGTAAAACCAGGAAATAGACATCATAAAATATATCATGGCTCAAAAGTGTTTTTGTTGTTGCCTGGTTGCATGGGTGTCTGCTTTTTCAGTTTCGCCTTTATGGTTTCTCTAACAACAATTTTCCAAACTGTCATGTAGTATAATATGCATTTGTTAATGTAAAGCATTCAAGGTATCGCTCCATGTCCACCAGGGAAAGTAACTAAGGTGTATCAATATGCCTTTTACCAATACTAGAATATGGAGTTTTAACATTTTGTCCACTATGCTAGGTCGCCAATTACATCTTGTATTGAAATCTTGATCTGAATTGGTTGGGAGTTGTTCATACCTGAAAACAGGTTTGCCATAAATGAAAGACAGGCATAGCTTAAGGTGCAAACATAAATAGATTCTGTTCAAACTCCATTTCAGAGGCCCCTACATACCAATTCAGTGACAAAACGCCCATACCTTGCAGTGAAATTTACGTTAACTAGGTTCCAGGTTTGCAAGAATCAAAATAAACCAAAGAGTATAACTATGCTTCACATGGATTCCAATTAAGAGGGTATAAAGGATATTACATGTATGCAAACATTTTGATCAGTATCATTAATTTGCATATGCTCGGAAAGAGATGTCAATCATTATACCAGTGTGATTACATTCCTGACCCAGCCCGCTGTCTCTCATCCGCAAATGGAGCGGCAAACCTGTAGGAGAAATCCTGAAGCAAATCATCCCCTTCTTTATCCGCACCATCGTCAAAGTTGAGAGCATAGCTATAAGAATCATACTGAAACCTGGTCTTTCGAGTTCTACGCTTATTGCAATATCCACTCATCTTCCTTATAAAATTCTTCCACTTTGGCCCTGCTAGTTTTTCCGAGACTTCTTTCACTTTCTTCAGTTTGCTTTTCCACCATGTCTGTGTGGGCTCTCCTCTCTGGTGCACTAAGGAATCAGTTTCCTCGATGTCGTTTCGCTGCCATTTGAGGCAGAAGAGACTAAACCAATCACACCCGTTATCCCAAACTTCCTCTTCATGGTCATCAACATCCTCTCCTTGTAGCGGTGAATGCTTGTGCATGAAGATTGGTTTCTCTTCGGAATTTGTCATGGGACGGAAAATTATAAATTAAAGATAGAAAAATAAGGCTAATGGTTTTGGATTGTGGCGAAAGGAGGCTTTTATGTGCAGAAGTTCTAAGAGGTTTAGGGAAAGTTCAAAAGAACTTGATTAGAGGAGCCATGTAAGGAAGATGGAGAGAAACAAGCAAGGAAATATCATGGAAGGTAGAAATAAGGAGTCTTGTAAGCAGTGCCTTGAGTAGGATAGATTATCATCAAGGGCCAATATAAAAATGCCACCTGTATGAAGAAGAAGAATCTTGGCTATCTAAATGGTTAGAAGGGTCAATTTTATTGGTCATTCACTAGGGTGCGTAACAGTTTGTGATTAGTAGGGAACTGGATAATGATAAGGTAAAAACTTGAATTTGACCCACTCCGCTTGGCGGCCCATTGCTACGCGGTAATGGAAATCAGGCGGCTGGCAAGTGGAAAATGTTGTCGAGTGTCAATGAAGAAATGCTAATGCTAATGCTAATGCTAATGCTAATGCAAGGGTCAAAAATATCAGCACTGAATTCACTGGATTGAAATTTTGAATAAGTGTGCTAATTTAATTAATTGAGTTTTGAATATTAAGTGTTTAGCTTAATTACAATACAAAATTGTTAGGTAATCCTACCAAACCTGCGCTACTTGTGATCCATTTTAGCATGCTGAATTAATCGTCTTAATAGCTTAACAATCACTTACATAATCACTAGCTGATTGTCCAACCCATTCAAATCAATTACATTATGAATTTATAAGTTAATAAATTAGCAACCGGCTTGCAAGGGTCCCTAGCTGATTGTCCTTCAGATCATTGGCGCAAGCATTCTGGTTTCAAGTCCTAGACCAAATGCTTTTCTGCTGACTAGGTAGCCAATGCCATAGATCATAGGTTTTAGTGCAACACCATACCCCTCCCCGCATGTTGCACATATATAAGCTTGAGAACAGAGAATTTAGGTCTATGAAACTGGATATGTACGATTTCACCATAATTAACCAATAAATTGCATATCAGGACAATTTTCACTTGTAAATGGAATTGTAAGAGCTAGCACAATCAAGCCAGTATAATTTCTATAAAAATTGGGGGGGTAGTGTGTAACTTAGTTCCCTGTGTTACATTCAAGCCAAGCACATTTACAACCTATTCCTCCAACTGCCAGAAACAGGAGATGATTTAAGCCAAGCGCATTTATGGTGGGTTCTGTCCTCTAGGTGGCACTTTTGCAGCCATTGAGCGTAACTCATTGGCAATCTCAGTGAAGCTTGGTCTCTCTGATGGCTCTGATGACCAGCATCTCTCCATCAATGATCTCCATTCCTGGTCACATGATTCTGGAACTGGAGGCCGTAGTGTATTACTCACAATACCACCTGAAAGCAATTCCAGGCAAATGATCACTATGATTTATCAAAGTGGAAAGAACAGAGTCCATAAATACGTGTACATATAATGCAATTACCTATAATAGCCCCATAGTGTAAGTCTGCGTATGGTTCTTCTCCAGTGAGAAGCTCCCACATCACAATACCAAATGAGAACACGTCAACCTAAATTAGAGAAAATATCGAAACAAAAATCTCATGACTATACATAGACAAAAAAGTTTACATGATTATGTAGGACATAAATGAAGTAACAAAATAAAATGATAAGAGATTAGAGGGCACCAGAAATGTGCTAAAAATCAGACCTTCTCTGAGACAAGACTGCTGCTGCCATTCAGAAGTTCTGGTGCCATCCATGGAAGCGTTCCACGCACGCCACCTGAGATCAGAGTTTGACATTTCACCTTAGATAGGCCCAAATCACCAACCTGATACCAAAAACTAGGAATGAGAGGCCGAATCTATTGAAACAGTTCAGAATGAAATTGAAAGTATCATTCAAACCAATCTATAACAGCAACATAACCTTCAGTATGAATTTAAGAGAAACAATCGATAACAGCGATATCTTAGAGGGTATAGTACCATGCAATCACCAATTAGTTGGCATCAGACTAAGCTCCCTCCTCCTATCAACAGTTGATTAAAGGACTAATAATATACCAGAATTCATAATTTTATGTTCAGAAAATTGAGGTCTTCAACTCAAGATTAAATAGATTGCATATAAGCACCACTCTGCACATTTCAATAAAAATCATTTGAAACATCCAAGTCTATGTAAGTCCAAATAAATCAGTTATTTGTATTTATAGCCCAACAAGAAAGTTGGATAAGAGCAAGTTGTTCTAAGTTTTGCAGATGACATCTAATTAACCTTTTAAAAGTGAGTAGACCAACTTTTCTCTTCACTGCTTCATTACCAAATCAATTTAAATTTCCCCTTTATCCTTCACATTTTGCAAAAAATGAGAAGAAAATTCAAAGGAGTGTTTCAAATATGATGGACTGATATATAGAAATTGACGAGAGTCAACTTCACAACTGTTCAACTCAACCATTATGCACTAATCATATTTTATTAATATTTTTAAAGTACATAAAAGAGTAAGCATGCATTGCATGATTAAACTGAAAAGGAATATGGATTTTAAAATTAAATTCCTCATCCTAAAGAGTAGCAAATCAAACGCAAACAAACAACAAAAAGCTAGTAGTAATTGTGACAGCAAAAAATTATAACTCATTAAACCACAAGGAAATGATTTCTTTAAGTTGTTCAGATTGAAGTGGATAGCTAACAACCACTTGGTTATAGCCATTATTACATGCATCAAACAAAAACATGAGAGAATAATTCGAGATTATTTGAATTATAACAGGTATTCATGGGTGAAAGTTGCAGAAAAAGTATAGGATAAAGAAGCCTCATAATTTGTGGAAAAAGGTAGATTGGCATTGACAACAAAGACCCAAAATATCCAGCAAGATTATTCCTAATTAATAGACAACTTGTGTTTCCCCAACCAGAAAGAAAAAAAATGAAAAAGAAAAGAAAAGGAAGCTTACTTTTTAAGAGAAGCTGATAACTATGAAAGGACTGGAGAAAAAGGGAAAACAAGGACTAACAAAATGGCCACAACGGAAAGTTCATGTTGAATTATTAACGAAT